ATATATATATATATATATATATATATATATATATATATATAATCATATTTTCAGGTGCTAACAAACATCTTTTATAATTCATCACTTTAATCAAATATAAATTAGAATTTTCTTCTTGAGTTTTTCAATAATTCAGAGAGAGGGAGTACTGAATTTCACCAAAGGCTTGCCGACTTCTTTGGAAATGGGCAGTGAACAACAGTGGGATAAAGAAAATGCATGGCCACCAATGGTACATATGGTTATTGAGGGCTTTCGTACCACAGGTGATCCTGTGCTAATGAAAGTTTGTATTTGGGTTTTAATTTAAATTTGTAAAGTACTTCGAGAATTCACCTCATTTTGAAATTGTTGCTAATCAAATTGCGAAATTTCTTGGACTGAATTACTTTCTATGTTAATGTATTTCTTCGCACTCCCAAGACTTAAAATTTTCATAGGCAGCTGAAACTATGGCAACGCAGTGGTTAACTGTAACTTATAAATCATTTATTCGTACTCATTCAATGTTCGAAAAGTATAATGTCTCTGCAAAGTCTGAAGAATGTAGTGCTGGTTCTGGTGGAGAATATGAAGTGCAGGTTAGTAAAAACTTTTGAATTCACCTTAAAATAGCACTGAAATTTAATTGACTCATTCCTAAATCTTTTTTTTTCTCACCATCAAATCCTATTTCTGAAAAAAATAGAAATTGCTGTTGATTTTTGAATTTAATATCCAATTACTGACTAAGACATTTCGATCTTCCAGGAAGAAAAAGAAAACATTCAAACAATGCTATTATCTAAGGCATAAATTATTTGGAATAAATAAATTTTTGCAGACCGGGTTTGGCTGGACGAACGGTGTAATATTAGATTTATTAGATAAATATGGGCAGAAAATGACTTCAGCTGCATCATATCCAACTCAGTGGCTGCTTTATACCGTGTTTTTGTGTCTGGTCAGAATACTGTGAAAGACATTCTATTCTCAGTTTTTGCTTAATATGCTCATCAAGAATTTTTGATAAAGATAATTTCTTCAAATCAGCTATAGTGCTCAAGAAATGAGACATATTTTTAGATATTTTTTTCATTACTCTGTTTGCCATACTTCTTTGGTATTAGATTAGATGTACTGATTTTCAAATTTTTTTGAAAAACTAGCAACATTGGGAAATTATTCAGGTTTTACCAAATATATTTGTTAGCTGTGCCTCAGTTGAAGATTTAAGCATGTTTATAGACTGGTATTATTTTCATCTTATATTTATAAAAGCAATTTAATATAGGATCCGATTCGGCTGATTTGTAGCTAATTGTAGTTTTATTATGTGCTATAAATTAAAATCAGTTATTTTGGAGTATTTATTTTTTTAAAATTATTTGAAGATTTGTCAGCCTTATTGTTTTAATCACGATTTTGTAAAAGCTAAAACTATTATAAAATTTCATACGTCTTCAAGTCTTTTTTTATAAGGTTTTTTTTGGTTTTTTTTAATATTTCATAAATTGTTTGTAGGTGCTTTCATTCAATAATAATTCTATGAGTGTTAATTCTTTCGGCTGAGCATTTAAATCCAGTATATTTGGAGTTATTTGTTCATATAAATTATTTCTGATTTTTTTGGACTTTTTATATTCCATGTTATTGAATACCATTTTTTTCATTCTGTACTTGATTGTCTTATATTTTTGGCCGATTCTATCTTTATTTTTAAATTCCATCAATATTTCTGCTAATTTAAGAATCTTTTGGAGGTTAAAAAATTAGTAAGTTGTAAAAAAGTAGTCGCCGTTCCGCATAATTCTCACGTCTGATTATGCAACCTTTAAGTTTATTTTGTCCATATTAATACAATGGAAAAAAGCATGATGTATTCTTTGCAGTGAGATTGCTGATAACTCAATGAAGCGAGTCATTTATTGCTAAATATCATTTTTTTTTTCCTTGTAAATTTAATGCCATGTGTAACATATTCCACGAAAAAAGTCATTCTCAATTTGTAAGACGAAATCTCTCATCTTACTGCAGTCTGGAATGGGTGAGAGTTTAAATAATTGCATACGAGCGGCTAGAAAATATGGTGATTCCTTACATTGCGAACTAAAATTCAAAATATCTTAGAAAGTTGTGTTGGCAATTTGAAGTATTTAATTGTGCTTCTGTCGGAACTGGACATACCAGTATCATGGTTGATGACAGTAAGTAGTGGTAAACCAGTACTAGAGACGAGGACATTGGATTTCAGTATATATGGTACAGGACCTCATGTATACAGTGGTGTATTACTTTTCGGTGTCTGAGAATCTCTGGGACTTTGTGAACGAAACTGGTTATTATATATATCGCCGCTCCAAACTATGCAAATTATTGAAATTAACATACCAAATTTTAATCTTTGAAAGTAAAATTAAAATGATTGCAGATGTCGGTTTGGAAGTACGCATGAAGGTAATCTGAAGCGCTACATTTAATATCTAATTTGAAAAGATTTGGAATAGACTGTCAAGCTCTCACTTTTAAACATTCTGAATAATAAACTGTTAGAATTGCAGTTTGACGAAATAAACGAAATTCATATAAAAGTGAAAATAAATCAGAATCGGATAATTTTCGAGCAAATATATTTTATAATAGAGATGCCAATTAACAAATAGTAGTAGAAAATAAATTGGTGGGAGACATGTTCAATTTATAATTTGAATAGAATTGTATATCGCCCAGAAGTGATTAAATATTAAATGGTTGGTTTGTAAATACTGATGCGCCTTTTTCGTTAGAGTACGTCGACCTTCAGATTCAGAATTAGCAATAGAGACTTCAAGTTCTGGTTCTTGAGTTTCTGTGCTATTTTTTAATCTTTTCCTTAATCAGACAAAAAATTTTATCATTCTATCAGAATTGTTCTATCTTGTTCTGTTCCAAGCACAAAAATCAGCACTATAAATTAATTGCAGAGCTATTTATTTATCTACTAATTAAATATTTTTGACTTGAAAGGTCTTCAAGTCTTTTTTCTGTCTTTTTACTACAAGTCTCAACTTGGATCAAATCTAATTCAGTTTTTGTCTAGACGCAGTTAATAAACTATTTTTTTAAATTTTTTTTCATATTTGCAATTATTTTCCAGTCAAAATTGTTCGTTTACTTCTCTCTACACGGAATTAAAAGTAGCGCAAGCTAAATTTCTATAAGAGTTATGGTAATCTCTGTAATATCGTCTCAATCTCTCTTCAATATTCAATTCAAACTAAATTCACAATAACTTCCTGTTTTTAAATTCTTTTGAACTTTGCAAAATTTCATTTCATACATTATAAAATGCACTATTTAGTGAATTTCAAAGCGAGTTCCATGCATTCAGTTTTTCTTATTAATCTAAAAATAATCATTTCTCCTAATGGCTTTTGACAAATATGTGATTACAAATTTTCACGAACTTTCATGTGAATAAAGCACCTAAAATTTATAATCCTTACTTCTGTTGCGTGCAAACTTTAACTCTTTTAAATCATTTCAACTTTCAGAAGTTCGCTTTTACTATTTTGAAAGGACCAATAATTGTCAGTTATCACAAGACTTTCTATATTTTCAATAAAATTCACCTAAACAAATTTTGTAAAGTTTCACTCGTAAGAGATGCGAATTTCGAATTTCATCTGCCACTTTACCCGTATTTCACTTTTTAATTCAATCAGACAAATTTTTTGGTTTTAGTGAAAAATATGAATTTTGAGACAAGCAATCTCTAAATTGAACATCCTTAAGTAAAAAAGTTTCATTTTTGAACATTTTGTAGAAAATGCTAACAGCTTTGCTAAACCTGTTGTTGATAACATGTGCTGAAGTTAAAGGAGATGACATTAACAGCAGATGGCTAAAACCTTTCTCAAAACTTTCAGGTATTTTTGATTTCAATTTTAACAGTTCTGCCTAAATTGAATAAATTGACTTCATACTTAAAATTTTGTAAATGATTTGTTTTTTTTTTTTTGTAAAAAATTTACCACTGTAATGGTGTGACACTCAAATTACATTATTACTTTTAGGCACAGACAATTATATTTTTGTTTTTATATAATGCACAAATACTGAAAGTTTTTTGATTTATACGAAGCAAGTCGTTTATGATGTCATCATAATATAATTTTTCATTTTTCACACAAGGATGCTTTTTTTCAATTATTAAAGTTGAATTGTTTTTTAATCTATTTTCAGGCGCAAAAGAAATAGGTGAAGAACCAGCCCCAGTACCATTTTCTTTTATGGTATTTCCATCGGGTGGAAAAACCGAGACTGGCTTAGATTTAGAGCTTCTTACCAAAAATGCAGCTGTAGAAGCAAATAGGGTTGCCATATATACTTTTTATTTATTGTAAACAACTTAAACTTTAATATACTTTTGAAAATTAACTAAAAATGTTTCTATTTTTGTATTAACTTTAATTTTATTTATTTGTTCATTTTATTTCTACTACATTTTCGTGCATTTTTGAAGGTATAATTTTGTTTTAAAATTTTTATCTTTTCATTTGTAGTAATTAAATATTTTGTATTTAAAAGACAAAGAAAATAAAATGTAGGAATTATGAAAAATTATTGCTTCAACTTTTTTAATTTAGTAACTGAAAGATATTTAGCTTAAAGCAGCATCAGCAAATGATGGAATAGATCAATCTGTGGATGGATCACTCAAGTTAGAGCTCACAAATGGATTATCTCGTCCGTTTACGCAAAATTCACTTGCGCAGCAACTTGGAGCAGTCATACCTCAGGAAGTTCCGTACTTACCATTCCCTTCTCCAATTTCTCGATTTTCTACTGTTCAGTACCCTAATATCTACAAACCGATGCTTCTCACTCGTCCAGGTTTACCGCCTCTTCAAACATTTAACGCATTGGCTAAACAACCCTTCAGTCATCAATTTATGCCAAATAATTATGAACAGAATGAAAAGACAGAAGAATTGGTGCCTTTTCGCAAAGAACCAAGAGTTTCTGTGATTGAAGCAACTCGTAATGAAAGTAAGCATTTCTTCGAAATGCACAAGAATTTAGATCAAAGTTTTGTAAAATATTTGTAATATGACACTGAAAATCACATTTAAACTTAAATCTTCATAAGACATCTCAATTGTAATCAAATTTTCATTACCAAACTGAGCATTTTTCTTTTTGAAATTACTTGCAGCACATTTTTGAGTTTTACAAACAATTCTGAAACAATAAAAGTAGTATTTTGAATTCAATACATGCACTGAATTCAATAAATTTCAGTTCTTGAAATATTCATATATAATTATTCCAAGAAACGTTTGCTTATCTTGATTAGTAATCAGTTTAAATTTATGGATATAAAAAATATATCTTCGATTACTATGCTATAGCTTTGTTTTTGAGCTTATGGGTGCTTTGAAGATTGATAGATTTCAATGTATGTATTCGATTAAATTCATAACACATACTAAAATCATGCTTCGTTACAGTTTCTGCAAGAATATATTTTCATGCAAATAACTGCTTAGTTTTTTGCTTGGAAATATATTTTCGGTCTTAATTTAATGAAATTATCTAACGCTGCACTAATTTCTTGTTTAGAAACTTTTGTTTTCGCATCGAAGTTACTGACTTTAATTTAGTTAAAGACCTTTTTTTCTAATTTAATTTTTGCCACATTTTTCAAATGCTAGCTTGAATCAGTGCTAACGTCTAAAATACATTCAACAGTTTAATATCATTGTATTGTTAAGCATACAAGAATTACCGAATATAATTCATATCAAATTTTGGTTAAAAATTGTCACTTGTCTTATTTTTATAAAATTTTGCAGTATTTCGATTTTTTAAATGAAATTTTAAGGGTTTTTGCGAAATGATAGCGATGAAAGTAATCCGTTACTCAGCAATAATTACTACTATTATGGACCTGAATTTTATGGTGCGATGATGCGATTACCATTTAATTACAATAATAACCACCGATGGTGGCCATGGTCGAGATTAGGTACAGGTGCCATCACTGACTGGAGAAATAATTTTCGTATGGTAAATCTACCGGTCAGATCGTATCCATACCGTTATAATGACTATGGTGAATTTAAAAATATTTTTTTATAATATGAATAAACTTTTATTGACTTTGGCTTCATTTTTTCTAGATCCCAACAAAAGTATAAATCGGAATAAATACAGCATAATTTTGTAAAAAAATATTTCCATGAATGATTTTGTCATTGTCATTGTGCTGGCATTGTAAAACTCCATGTGTTTCTTTCATTAGGTGTGAATGGAGAAAAAACGCTGACACGGCTAAATGCAGTTGATTTCAACGAGAATAACAACTACTCACGCATACAATAATTGATAATTTTGAAAACTAATTTCATATTCAAATTTTTGTTTATAAATATTTCATCTGATAGTGTGTGGCGAAACTTTATGAATAAACTAATATGAATGAAAAATTGTGCACAAAAACTTGCCCAAATAACATTGCAATGGATAAAGAATATAGTAGACGATCCATAGTTTATTTTATGAAAATATTAAAAGTATTTAAGAACAAAAAGCAAAGAGTTGTTATTACTTTATTTTATTTCACTGAAAAATAACTTCTTGAAAGTTTCACTTTTAGTACTTTTTTAATTCACGTTTAACTGTTATACATGTTTATTATATTTCCCAGCTTCAATCTCAACTTTACTGCCATTACATCAATATCTCATGAAAATGAATAATCTGGAATAAAAGGAAGATGTGCAGTTACTAGAAAGTTTCTTCGATAAAATATCAAACTAATGCTGCAAATGATTTCATCAAAATAATTTTTTTAATATAAAGGATTGAAATTAAGTAGTCGCAAGAGTGAATATCTCGTAATTACTTATTTCAGGAGAGTGATTTGAGTTAAATAAGGAAGTTTTGCTTGCATTTCTCAGAGGTTATGAGGTTATTCCCTAGCATTTCTCAGAGTCTTTCAGATTTAAGTTCTCTCAGAAATTTGCATACAATAGAAAACATTTTTATTTGCACCTTTATCGCATTTTGGTTTGAGTTCAAAATTCTTTCAGCACATTAAACAAATATTTTAACTTTCGAATTAAGCATTCTATCAATCAATGCTTTGTGAATTTGCCATCAGAAAGCTTCATAAAATTTATTTGAATTGAATAAAAATGACCCAATTTATAAATATTCTTCCCCATGGATAATTGTGTATTTTGACTTGTCCGATGTCACTGAGAACAACCATTACTGGCCATTTGTTATCCATGAAAACAGCTCCATTTTTACTTTTAAAATCATTACTATTTTTTCATTGTAAGTTCTATTTTCAATTATTCAATTTTCTCTTTTTTGTCTTGCAATCCATTCATCAGCACAACAAATCAAAAGTGTTACAAAAGTTCACTAATATATTTTCAATAACTATTTATTGTCTTACTGCCTGGAAAAAGAAGCATCTATTGTGTCAATGACAATTCACAAAAAGCATTTGTGTGCTTATAAAAATGCATTCCAATCCACAAAACAACTTTCCTTTCTTTCAAAGTAAAAGCTGAGTACATTCAAAACTTCAAATTCAAATCCAAATTCATTTATCAATTGCGGATTTAAGACTGTAATTAAATTAATATCAATTTTATGAATTTTATTTTCAAGAAATAAGCAATATTCCGTTGATTATTCATTGCTCTCCTCAAGTGCACATTTCAGCACTTTTGTCCAAAAATATATATCAAACATGTTGATTGCAGTAAAGTATTAGAAATAAAAATACAAATATTTGCTTTATAAGTCATTTATACTTTTCAAATTTTAGCTTTTCAAATAATGAAATCAAGTGTTTTAATAGAAGATTTGTCATGCGATTTTGATGATGGAACCTTTTGTCAGTGGCAATCTGATTCAGATTTATGGCTGATTGGTTCAAACGTACTTACTAATTTTATTCAGCCAATTCCACATTTTACTGCTCAAAGTATGAAAAAATTTATCGTTAGCTTATAATTGATCGATTTGTAATTTAAAAAATCATAATTTTCAAATTTTTATTAATTTTATGGAGTTGAAAAAATGTTTTTTTTCACTGTAGATGGTCTTTATGCATACGCCAAAGGTGGACAAGGAGTATCAGTCGAAGGACATCTGATAAGTACTGAAATTGAAGAATTCAATAATCAAGAAGCAATACTATCATTTCGATATTGGAAGAGTAATAATTTTTGCAAACTGGACGTAAGTAATTCATATTTTACAAGCATTTGAAATACTTTCAAAGTTTCGATTTTACATGGTCTATATAGAATATAAAAAAAATCCATTGCAAATTTGTCATTGCAAATGATTTGAAATTTTAGGCATTTCAAATTTAAGGTATGTATAGCAGACCGAAATGCTTTTGTATGTACTTTTTCAAGTCAAAATGAGCTTAACAAAGAATCACGCTGGATTAAGCAAACGATTACACTTTCGAATAAATTAACTACTCCTTTTAAGGTTAATTTAAAATTAGACAGCCATAGTGAAGTTTAAGGCAGATTTAATACTTTATTAAAATTATGCATAAAATTTTATTTTCAATTGATTTTAATGTAAATTTGCCAAGAAATGAATACTTGTGAAGAAATGAAAGTATAATAAACAATTAAGGGCTAAAATAAAAATTAGTGATTTTAGTCTCAAATCATATGATTTAAGCGATTTATTTTTTAGGTTTTCATTATTTCAAGACATAATAATTATTAATTTGTTAATGTCATATTAAAATTGCTTTACATCTTCGATTAGGTCATATTTCGTGCTCGAAATATTTATACACCATTAGATATTGTAGCGATTGATGACATTGAATATCGAGTAAATTTTTTCAAGATTCATGCAACTACGGTTTGTTTTCAAAATATTTGAAGCAGTCTTACAATATAATTGTCGTTTGAATTAAAGATTATTTCAGAAGTTGTCTTTTACGTAAAAATTTTTCAAACTTTAATTTTTCAAAATTTTTCTTAATTCTTTGAAATTTGTTAAAAAATTTCCTTACACCTTAATATGAGTTCATTATCATCATTAGTTAAAAAAAAAAAAAAATTCAAACTATTTTTATTATCCACAGCGCATTTTTTATTTATTCCAATTCTCTGATTATAATTAGTATTATTAAATTGTATTTTGCGATTTTTTCCTATGTTTTCGGGCTAATTTTTTGCATTGCTTAGATGTCTAATTTTATACCAGTAACAAAATTGGATGAAATTCTGACAAAAGAGCAAGCCAGAAAAACTTCATGTCCTGCTGTTAACTGCACGTTTATTGATACTTCATGCCAGTGGTATTACTGTTCAAATTGCAAATTTAAATAATAATTCAAATTTGAAAGCTTTATTTTTTTGAAGCAAATTTTTTAAATAATTTCGTAACTAATAAATAAATATAAAATATTCTATGAATGCATTTTTTTTCTTGATTGATGAATGTTTAAGTAATACTACTGAAGTAATGAAAAAAATTTGTATTTTTATGAGTTTGGAAGCCCCATGGCAACATTTGCAAGGTAATATAGCTGTGGATAGCGAAGGTGAAGGTATTGCTAGAAGTGGCTTTTTCATGGTTCCCGCAGAAAGTTTTCTTCAAATGGATGTTTGGATGGCGTAAATTATAGCTCCTCAATTTTTAAATATTTATTATAGTTATAAAAACTACTTTTCTACACTTATAAAAAATTTTATTAGCAAATTACAATTTCAAAATTCAAATTGCAATTTTTTCAGTGATAGCGCAATACTTACTGTTTTGGAAGCTACTGCAAGTCTTGGAAATTGGATAACACTTTGGACACAAAGTGGACTGCCTGATAGAAGCAAATGGAATCGGTTTCAGATTCCACTTTTAGTGCAAACAGAAGCTATTCAAGTCATTCTAAATGGAACAGTTCCTATTAATAGTTTTATAACTGTTTCAAATACCAAATTAGTCAATCGAAATGGAAATGAAATTGGTTGCGGTAAGAATTAATTATAATGTAATACCATTTTTTTTACTCTGCAGTATTCATTATAAACCAATCTAATTATAATTAAAGCAATCAGTTCTTATTACTTGTTATTTCTAATAAAATTCAATATTGATAACATTTACTGATCTCATTACTTTACTACAGCATAAATGTCATTATGACTTTAATGCTTATATCACAATTAGATTTTGTGATACTTAATAATTTTATATACTAATAGAATTAACAATAATTTTATATACTAATAGAAATAATAAAAAGGGATAATTATTTTATTAATTTAAATAACATTTAAACAATAATTAATCAGTAAACTGCATTGAATCTATTTTGTGTCAGTGTGCAATTTTTAGGCATAAATTCACCGGATATCGAGAAATCTCTTCAAAACAATTTTTCTCTTAACAAACCAGAAAGATTAATAGCATTTCAACAATTCTACATAAATCAGGTTAAAATGTGTAGCAATCATTATAAATACCACAGTTTTTATAAATTGGCACTTCTGTAATTATGAAGTGAGATAAAAATCTATTTAATTTCATAGCAAATTACATAGAATTAAAGTCTGTAATTACTTATTAAAATGTGGCTAGACTGTGGATTAAATAATAAATAGCGCAATTTGATGACTTTCTTACATCAAGTTTGGACTTTTAGGCTCGATCCACGTCAAAAACAGCGCAAAAAAATGTACTGCAAACGAAAACTGCAACTTCTAAAGATGAGATCACTAAAGGACATGACCTTAGGGATCAAATAAGTGTTCCTAAGCCATCAATAAATACACCACTTCTTATAGATAATGAAAAAAGATACAAGTCATTAGCAAAAAACGATACAAGCAGTAAATTTCTAAGAAATTCAATTTCCTTAGAATGAAATTTTAATATTTGGCATTTAGAATTTGTGATCAATTTTAAATTTGTATTTAATTTTTTTTTTTAGCACTTGAGCTAAATACGCAATTTCCGAGAAAACCTCCCATTTACACTCGATTACATGAAAACAGTCTTGCAAAACAAAGTATTGCTTTTTTCAATAGTATTTTGGAAGCATAAGACCAATTTACTTTTTATAATATTACCAAACTTCAAAAAATTCCAAATCGCAATTTTTAATGTACTGAAAAAATCATATGCATACACATTACCATCAAATCGAAATTGCTATTTTGGGATATTTCTTCATTACAAAATTCATTACGATCCTTGCGTTATTCAGAAGCATTCGAGATTTTTGATGACAAGTCGAATTCTACATCAAGTAATGATACAGTGAAAGAATTAGGTGCAATTTTATCACAGATTGGTAGGCAACCATTGCTTGAGATGCACTTACGTCAACTTGCGCATTTGTTTAACTTCACGCAAATGGATGCTGAACAGGTATGACTTGAAATCAATTACTTACTATTTACTTTCGTAAAAAATTTCTTTTATTAAACCAAGTGAATTTTTAATGACTTTGCAAATCTCAATCTTAAAAAATTTTGTCTCATCACTCGCAGAAAATTATTGGCTGAATTGTAATATTTTTGCATTATTAATCTTAGTTGAAAAAATATGCATTTCAGTACTGTATATTTATCATAAAAAAGTTTTTTTTGTGGAAAATACTTTTTAATTTTGGCTAATGTGAGAAGTAATCAGAGAATAGTTTTTTTATTTGCTAACACTAATTAAATATTGGATTATAAAATTTATTATTTTTATAGGCTCTGAAAATGTTGAAAAATTTGGTAAAATCAAAAGTCCCACAATCTTCAGCTGCTAAATTTTTTCAAGCAGAAAATGATAATCTGGAACCGATCAGACCTATCAATGCTCCACCACAAATTGAATTGGTTAAATTTTTAGTAAACATCTAAAAATTTTAAAAAGTAAGGCAGTTAAGATAGATTATTTTTCACATATTTTGAAGTTTTTTAATGGTTTTTATCTAAGTGAGGCATGTTTTTTTTAGGATTTATTTAACAAAGACATTAAAATAAGATAATTTTAGAAGACTCAAAGTTCATCGCTTGGCAGCAAAGAACAGATTTTTTCATTGCTATCATTACTTCCAAGCGACTTACGCAAAAAAATTACGAGCAATGCAAAACAAATCTTTGGCTCTAACTTTAGTAATGAAATTATAAAAGGATTAGATTCTATGCTGTCACCACCACGTCAAAACATCGACACGCAATTACCGCTAACTCGTAGCAATCTTGATTTCATTATTCGTAACGCAAATGAAGCTATTGCTCTAG